ATAGAATCAAAAATTGAATCGTTTTTTTCTATAAAAAAAATTTTTTTCTCTAAAATTTGATTACACAAATAAAATAATAAAAATTATTCACATTTTTGGCATTAGTAAAAAATAATTGCGATGAAAATTCAATTGTTTTGCTTTATAGAAAAGTGAAAAAAAAAATAAAAATGAAAAATCACGTAGACCTGATTTGTAACAATTGAGAAAAATAACAGTGGATGGAATGAATTGGAGAATTTAAAATTCAAATAAAATAAAAGGTTGATAACAGTGTAGTCTAGTGTTATGAATATTTATTTATAGACGATGATAAAGAATTGATTTGAAACAAAGGGAGGGTGATAATAAAACAAGAGGAGAGACAAAAGAATGCGAGAGATCATTTGACGTTCCTGAGTGCTTAGTGCGGAGGTGAGAGAGCATAGAGAGTTAACGAGTGCTCTCTGTAAGACAAAGAATGACGAATGGACAGCGTGCATAATATAAAACGGAAGTTGAAGAAGAGAATGAGGGAAAGCGACAGGAGCCAACGGAACGGGTTTTCCGAGGTTTTAAAAGGGGTAGAAGAGAATTCAGAGAAAGAGAATTAGAGAGGCCGAGAGAGAGGACTCCGCCCCGCGAAATATGGCGAGCTTTCCCAGAACGTGATTGGATGACGGGAGGACCCGCGGTTTCCAATCCCAAGACATTGGTCCTCCGCCACGTCTCCCTGCCAACCGCTATTGTGCTCATCTTTTTGTTAACTTATTTTTATCCTTTTTTCGTATCACTTACTACGGAATTTCGTATTGGACCCCAAATATTAAAACCTACCTCGTAATTTGGATCTATGTGTCTATCGAGAGCTGTCCTCTATTTCTTTAGCTGGTAACTCAACCCAACGGCGATATAAAATTTATACTCCATTTTTTGCTCGTCCTATCCGTTAATTTCATCCTGATGCTTTCAAGGAATTTTTTCAAAGCTAAAACTCGTTTTTTGGCTCAAGGTTCAGAGATACGATAAAATTAATTAATACCTTTTTTGTTAGAAATTCATTTTTATACAAAAAAGTTCTTTGATTATTTTTTTTATTTTCGATAATTCAGCCAGAATTTTAAATTTAATTTTTCGTAAATAGTTTCTCCAGTTATTCTTTTGATTGTGAGTATTTCCAGACATTTGATCTTAAATTTTGGTTAAAATATTCACATAAAAAAAACTACACAGAAACGAAAATTTCTTGACTGGAGAACAAAGTTCTTGGCTCAAGAAAATTTTCGGGTGCCTGTGGGAAGACCGAAGTTGTGTTAGTCGAAGTAAAAATTTTTCTTGAAATTCTATTCTTGGTGGAAGTAATTTTTTCTTAATTCAAATTATCATAAATACTTGATACAATAAATTTTTTTATTTGATCAAGATTTTTGGATACTTTAGGGAAGCAGCGCCACCTACTTCAGGTGAGAAAAAAATTTTCTCACTTAGAGAAATATTATTTTGGCGTACAATTATAAATATTGAATGAAAAAAAATGATTCTGTATTATTTGATCTTTCCATTTGACATCTTAATCAATAAAAATATTAATGAAAATTTACTTCTATCGAGATATTTAATTTTTTGGAGCAAGAGAGAAATTTTCTCAAGACTAGCAAATTCACTTCTATCAAGAACTAAATTTTTTGGAGCAAGAGGCTGAATTTTCTCAAAACAACACGATTTTCTTGACTTAAATAAATTTTCTTGGATCAAGATACGTATTTCTTAAGAGCATGTAGTATAGTCTCTTGTCGGTAATTCAGTCTGGACTATAGTGATAAAAATTCCAATTGAATATATCAGATTGTTTATTTGAAACACATAAAAATGTACTGGAGGTTATCAGACTGACTGTCAATACTCCAAACACTGTTCAAAAAAATTAAACTATAGTTTATTTACTATAGTAAATGAAATTTTTTGTTGATAATTAGTTTTCTATCCAAACCTAGCTGCATTTCAATAATTCTGTCTTATAAGTGATCTAAACGAAAATAAAGAGTAACCAAAAAAATAAATCAATCTCGAAGATTATATTGGTTGTAAGTTTATTAGTAATTTCTTTATAGCAAAGTTTATTTATTAAATTTAAAAATAAAAGAATCAATTTACGAAAGACTATTATTAACATACTCCAGCCAAGTTTAATGATTTTTTATTCAAAAATTACTTGGTCAAAAAGCGTCTCAGTATTTTGTTCAAAATTTGGATATTCTCTGTCCTATACATGTTCTTAAAGCTAGAAAATTAATTTTGTTGGAATAAGTGAAATTTCTTGTGTCAAAATAAATTTTCTATGTGCCAAAAAATATTTATTAATACTGAGAGCAGCAAAAATACAAAAATTAATAAGCTTAAAACAAATAAAATAATATCTTAATTCAAGAGTCGCGCCATACTTGGAACAAGTCGGTAACATCTTGAATCAATGTTACCGTCTATCTTAATCCAAGAGGAAGAAATTCTTGGGCGAAGTTGTATGTATCTTATTTAAAACAACCAAGTTCCTTGATTCAAGAATCAATTTCTTAATTTAAGAGAATTGAAATACTTAAAACAAAAATGACATTCTGAAGAAAAAATTTTTCTTGAATCAAGTCATTTTTTCTATTAGCGTTGAAGATAAAATAAAATTGATAAGGATATTTCTTATAGAGAATTAAACTCAGTATAAGATTGGTCACTTATGATTTTTTCGTATATCCTATATTTAATCCACAATTTAATCCAAACTTTCTAAAAATTTTCCAAAAATAAAAAGTTATTTAAAGTCCTATCACTAATAACAAACTCAAAAATATTACATCATTAGTCACATATTAGCTAATTGAAAATACAATAGTGCATCGAACTCCATTAGAAGTTTAATTAAAAATAAAAATTAATTAGAAACATTAACCTCGTAATATTTAATGAAAGATTAAATCTCCAATCACATATTTTAAATGAAAATAAAATTTAACAACGATCCCTCGGGGCTTAATAACCGGGCAAATTGATTTTTAAAAATAAACATTCCCCACTGATCTAGTATATAGACCATAAAGTTAAAAAAAAAATCCAGACACATATTATAATGGCAATTAAACATGCTCTTGCAAATTTATCAGGGTCCCTTACTCTCCATCGATACATAACTTGAACATAAACTAAATAAACCAGGAGGTTGTCAACTTATAATTGGCCGTTCTTAATTATCTCGAATTACGCAAGCTCCCTCTTTCACTTGACACGAACCCCTCAGCCATCTGTTTGATTGGTCTTATGCTCAGTATTTCCTCGAAATTTTTTACAATCGAAATAAATTAAACAGAAATAAATATGATGATTATGATGATTATGGTGCTTATGAGAAGAGGATTTATTGATGCAACAATGCAGTGTATCAGGTTGTGTGAGGGGAGCGAATCAAGCTGAACAAACATCTAACTTGGCGATACGAATTTACCCCTCTCGTGTTTCTGCGGGATGTGCTGTACCAGGGATATGATATTACTACACGGGTGTACGGTGGCGTTTGTCGTTTCCCGCTTACCGCTTTACTGAAAAGCTCTGGTTTCCCTCGTGTGTCAGTAACAACCTCCTTGTTTATCACTTATCGTGTGCGAAACGTGCTCTGGCATTTTTCTAATGTACTTACGTCCACTATTCACGCAATTATATATATGAACTAGGTACTTATTTACCAGTTTTTTAGAATCCCTGATATTAAACTTACTTACTTTGCTTTTGAATTTGCCAAATTCAATTAAAATGCTGTCGAAAAAAAAATAGTTTAGTTTTTTTTTGTATTTGATAATTGGTATTAAAAATTGGGAATCAAAAATTACTTTTATCTAAAAAATGTTGGATAAATTTTTACAGTACTTAATTTTTTTTCGTAAAAAATATATCTGGTCGTGAAAATTTTGTATGGAGTTGTTACAAATATAAAAATTTTTTTAAATTTGGTGCAATAGAAAAATATTTTTTAGATTGATAAAAATTTCAAAAATTAAATGAGTATTGTCAATTTATGAAATTCTAAATAATTTAAAATAAAAATTTTTTTATTGAAATTTTAAAAGTACTAAAAATTTTTGAAATTTGATTCAATATAAAAGTATTTTCAAAAATAAAAAAATTTATACCTACGAGTTTCATTAATTCATTATAATTTTAATTGAAATAAAATTTTTTTTGCTCGACGGGCAGAAAGCGTCAAATTTCGGCCCGCTGTGCTAAACGAAATTGCCACTTTCTGCCTTCGTCAAGCAAAAAAATAGCATACACTCCTCGGGAAGTAAATAAGAAAGCCTCAGATCACATGTAATTGTTGACCTCGGCTTCGCCTCGGCCAACAATTACATGTGATCTGAGACATTTCTTACTTTACTTCCCTCGGTGTGTAATATACTATTTTTTAAGAAAATTTTGAAATTACCAAAAAATAAAAAAAAAACTAATTTAATGGGTGTTATCAATTTATTAAATTCTAAACAATTGAGAATGAAAATTTTCTTTATCAAATTTCTAAAAAGTATAAAAAATAAAAAATTTTAATTAATTAGAAAAAAAATAATAAAATAAAAAGAATATTTATTTATTTACTTTTAATTTCAAAAACCGTCTAGTGGCCAAAAATTCATCACATAAGAATATTTTTCCAGGAAAAAAAAATAACAGTTCCCTTTAAATATAAGTAAACGTTCGATAACTACCAGTACAACGTATTACATATTTTCCACAATAGAAATGACTCATTAGTTATAAGCCATAAATAACCGGAATTTCCACATTCATCTACCATTCATTTACTATTCTCTATTGTACACTCTATAATATGTACAAAGTATAATCTCGAAACCAAAACCAGGCGTTTGTTCCAAAAATAAAACCGAGTTGTGCGTACATAACACCTGTCCCGCCTCTTCCACTAATCATGCATTTGACAAGATACAAGTATAGAATACACGTGTGTATCTAAACCTAACCTCAAAATGTTTAAGCATAAAAGTGTTGTGTTATTAACAATAACTCTAATGATTGTTTTTGCGACGTCTGAACTAAATGTAGTGCCAATAGTCGGGAACTCGTTAAACATTCTAAAATTCCACGGCATATTGAGTCTTACCATGCGTGTTTTTTCGAGTGACTCCGAGTGGATTTTCAGACAGCCCTCTACCAAGGTCTTCAAACAAGTTACAACTGCAGCTCGTTTTACCAAAAACTCACCAGTGTTCTCTGGAGATTTTCACATAGAGATGTGTGAGAACTACGAGCAATTGTTTCAAGCTTACTTCCGAAACTTCACCATAGAAGGGGTTGGCAAACCCTGGCGTTCTTTCATGGCCAGCTGGGAAAAGAATCGAATCGCTAAATATTTTGGAATCAGAGAATCGCTTCTTTCTGAAGAATACAAGTACATCTTTGTCAGAATAGCCAGGGTTAGGGATAATTTGAAAATGACCACTCCTCCGGAAAGTTTGGAGATTGAAGAATCAATTTTGGATGAGGCTGATAATGTTGATATTGAAGATAGTGTAAGCACTGTCAACTTTATCTATAAGTACAGTGGTACACATTATATTGAGTCTTATACTTCTGGAGATTCACTGTTTCAAGTAAGTATTTTATTTATGTATTAATTTAATTTTTTATAGCTTGAACAGTTTTAGAATTTGTCAAAATTTAATATTTATTTTTTATTCAATTTTCAACAATAAGATCAAAAATTGTTTGAAAAAAATAATAATAAATCAGAGACATTTTGTGGTGATTTTAATGCACGTCGCTTTGCCTTATTTTAAACATTTTCTAATTTAATATAATACCTTAATTTTCCAGGTTTTCGTTTACAGACCAAAACCCTTTAAATTCATAAAACGCGCCTTCACAACCCGCGGAATCGATATCCTCTTCGAAAAAGCAGTAACCAACTACTTCTCAACAGATTTCGCGGAATATGTCGGCGAACTGAAGACAGGAAGCGGGAACGAGACTGTTGAAGAATGGGCTTCGATAAATTTGTTCTTCGCTCACCAGGACCCGGAAAGTCAAAATATCCTGAGACTCTACGGTAATGAAAGACTGCTGACGAGGCTCGGTAATCTGCTCTGGAACGAAGCTCTAATTCAGTTGAATCTGAAGTATGTTTCGCCTTTCTTTCCAGATAAGGAATTCAGCAAATGGCTTCTAGAATTCATTTCCAATAATCTTAAGCTCTGGGATGATAATTTATAATTAAGAGATTATTTACAAAATTATTATTATTATTATGTGTAATCTTAAGTTCGTGTTATGAAAGTTTTTATGTTTTATTATATTTTGTTATCCATAATAATTTTGAATGAAAATTTATTAACCCTTTAGAGTCTGACCTTGAAACCCCACTCTTGGGTCTTACTATGGATTTGCGCTCTCCCCACTACTCTCACGCGAAGACGTTTCAAGATCCTCTAACTCTAAAGGGTTAATGTATAATATATAAATACTTAAATTTTTTGGCGACGTTAAAGTAAATTTTTTTAGAAGTATTTTCTAATCAACTAAGAATTTTAATTCATTAATCTATAAGTTAATTTCTTAAAGCGAGAGTTAAATTTTTAAGAAAAAACAAATATTGCAAACTTGAAAGACATCGCAATTGAATTTCAAATTGATTTTCTCACGGATGAAAAGAGTGTATTTTGTAGAAATTTTCTAAAAAAAAATTTTTCGGAAAAAAGCTATCTCAAATTATTGGCTTGGTGCAGCGTGAAAGCTGTTAGTATGACACGCGGGAGATCAGAGTTCGAATCCGGTCGTCGGTTTTTTTTTTTTTTTTTTTTAAGAATCTTAAAGATCTAAATGTATTTAATTAATTCTATACTCTTGATCGGAAAACATTATGATCCAAAACTAACAATTATTTAGTTTTTCTTTAATAATTTTATATTCTCAGTTCAATAATGAATTTTTTAATTAAAAATACCAAATAAATAAATATTGAGTTTATCTTCGATAAAATAAAAATAAGAAAAATTAAGCGGTTATTGGTTATCTTGATAAAGAAATTCTTGAATAAAATAAATTGCATCAAAAATAATAAAGTGGTTAATTAAATTAGTAAAATTCTATAATAGAAAATTTTTTCTCTTTATCCTTGACTTTAACTTTCTTGATTCCATTTCTGAGCTTCCAGAATTAATTCAAGCTGAATATCTCAAAATTTTCCTGAGAACATTTTTCTCAAACCAAGTAAGTAATTCTCTTTCCGAGTAGCAAACCCTCTGTAAAATTTATTAGCGTTGACAAATGTTCGGGGATATTTACAATTGATAAAAATGTTAAAAATAATACAAAGAATTCCGCGGAGAAAAATGTTTAAAGAAAATAGTTGGACAAGATTCGCAGAGAACAAGCTTACGGTTCGGCGAACCGAATAAGCGGGGTGTCTGTGCGCGCAAAAGGGGACGTGCAGTAGACGTAGTTTATTCAAACGAGCCAAGGCAAGAAAGCTATTGAAATAAGTAGGGTCGAGTGGATGGGCTTGAAATGAGAGAGCGAGAGAGACAAAGCCCAAATAAAAAAACTAACGCAAAATAGAGAGAAAGAACAGAAAACAGAGAGCCGGTGGGTTAAAGGACGAGGCCAGTTGTCTTCTTTTCTTTTTCTTCTTCTTCTTCTTCTTCTTCTTCTTCTTCTTGTTCTTATCCTTGTGTGCTTCTTGGGGTTGTATTTCTTTTTATTTAAAAACCTTTTTTCTTCCAGTCCATTGGTCGATCCTTGTTGCCCTTTTGCTCCTGTCATGATTTAATCCTGCGTTTTGCTTTCGTAATGGGAGATTCCGTATCAGAATATGTGTAGGGAGGTCGGTGATTCGTTTTTGATTTCTCTCTCTCTCTCTCTCTCTCTCCTTCTTGCTCTATATATTATCGTGTATAGATATAGTCGAGCTTTGCCGGTGGAGCAAAGTAAAAATTTATGAACATAACTGAACACTTGACTGGACAAATGTTCTTGTTTCCAGGTTTTTTATAGTCCAATGAACGTATTTATAAACTATCTACCATAAACTTATTCACTCTCCGCGAGTTGAGTACTTTAATACACTCGATAACTCAACTGCCAGTTAACCTTTTGGAAATTTATAAGCGCTTCAGCTTTAATATTATTTTTATATTTTATATTATAAATTTTATATTTTATCTCGAGCCTCATTCATCACCTCCGTTTTTTCTCTGCGTCTAGCCCAGTAGTGCACGAGGGCTGGTAGTCTAGTCAATATTATTGTCTAATATATGCCGTGAATCATCTCAGATTTTTACTAATTATTTATTACTAGTTATTTTAATAATAATAATAATAATAATAATAATAATAATAATAATAATAATAATATCTTTATTCAACATTTTAGGAGTTATCATTTTTTCACTGACTAGATAATAAACACTAATATTTAAGATACTGTATCTCCTAAAATACTGAAGATTGCACCGTAGTACAAAAAATATTTCAAAGTAAATTTCTTAAGCTACGACTTTGGATTTTTTTAAGTTTTTCTAAAACTCAATATTTTAAGAGTTGTGAATATTTTTATAGTGACTAGATGATTCTTCATTTTCCACTATGTTAGCACTACTTAAGTTACTATATCTCCTAAAATATTAAAGATAGCTCAATACCCTAGTAGAAATGATCAAGTTTTTACTCGATTAAATCTAGTATCTGGCTAACGATCATATCTAGTAACTGGCTAGTATAATATCCAGTAACTGTCTAGTTACTGGCCAGTTTTACTAGACATCAAATAAAACATGGTGATACTTGTAGATTTGGAGGTTATTTAAAATTAAATACGGATAAGTTTTTTACAATTCAAAATAATAATAATAAGAAACAGTGTAAATAATTTAAAAAAATTAAGTATTTCAATATAAAAATAATTTGTAATATATTTAAAAAAATGGATGAAATAAAAAAAATTTACATAATAACCGAATTGCGGTTGTGAGCAATCAAAACAAATATTCCAGACTGTCATCTAGATGAATTATTAAAAATTTTACGAGAAGTTCTTCCAGATTTGCCAATACGTGCAAAAACACTTTTAAAAATAACCGTTATTTTTATTTTTTTATATTATTAATGTTTTTAGGTTTATATTTAAGAATATAATATAAAAAATTAATAACTTATTTCATAGTTCTTAATACTTTTATAAATGAAACTTTTATACTAGTTGAATGTTAAATTCATAAATAAATTTTATAATTATTCCGTTTATTAATTATTACTATTTTTATTATTAATATTATTATTATTTTGAATTGTAACAAACTTATCCATATTTAATTTTAAATAACCTCCTAGCATACAAGTGTCGCCATGTTTTATTTGATGTCTTGTAATACTGGCCAGTAACTAGACAGTTACTGGATATTATACTAGCCAGTTACTGGCCAGATACTTGATTACATTTTTACTAGGGTAGTACAAAAATATTATTTGTAGAAAATTTTCTAAGCTTTGGTCTCTTATAACTTTTTGATAAAATTAATATTTCTTGTCTGACCAGATAAAATATTTTAATTTATCGGATTATAAAAATAAATTAATCTATAGTTAATGTTTATCACTGTGATTTAATTTCAACCAGATACAATTAGACAAATAAATAAATAGAGAAATAAAAAAGATTGTATGGATGAATCAGTAGAATGACAGGTAATTTTAAATTTTTTAGCTCGATAAACAATACAACCATTGTTGATTTGCATCAATCTCATTAAACATTTACGACATTAATCTTTTATTATAATAAAAACTATAACAATTTATGTTATTTATTATTGTATTACTTTTGAGTGGTTGATAACGTATCGATAAAACTTTTGAGAATCAGAAATGAATAAATTGTTCATTGACCTCGAAAATCTCCTCTTAGCTATGATACTAACAATTTATTTGGCTGTCTAAATGTTGACAATGAGTGGGTTGTAATAATGGTTAAATATAATCCGATTTTAAATAAAATTTAATCATTTTACGGACTAGTATATCAGTTAGTAAACAGTTAAACGGACGGAAACTATGTAATAAAAATGAACTAAATTAAATCTTAAAGTGTTTTATCAATTGTCTAGCAAATTTCTTTTCTCTGGCAAAGCTAAAGATTTTTATTCTTAAGGCCTAATCAAGAAGAGCAAACTTAAACTCAAACTCCGGAGTTGTAGTGAGTGGAGCGGGAGCTGTCGAAAGTGGAGGCAGAGGAAGAGGATGAAGGGGATAAAGGTATGAGAATGAGTAGGAAGATCGCGAGTAAAGCTCTGTCGTAAATGAGACGCCGGGAATCGATGTACAGTACAGATATAAGAGCTGGAAAAATGAGTGGAAATAGAAGAGAAAAGCGAAAGAGGGAGAAAGAAAAGCAAGCTTTGGAAGGTAGAATGTATCCTGCATGTGTGTAATGAATATAAATTTACATGTGGAACTCGAGTACACAGAGTCGTAAAATGGACGAAGGTAAACGGGAGAAGACTACGGAGTAGTTAACCAATCGTGTAGTAGCGTCACATCGGATGAATATCAATGAGCACCTACTGTTTTACAATTTTACTTTTTTTCCGTTTTAGTTTTTCTTTTTTCCTTTTTATTTTTTTATTTCTTTTTTCCTGCGGCTCATTCTCTTACTCTTTAAACTCTGGCGGGTCGCAGTCGTTTGTTTGCGCAAGGAGTCTGATTGACAATGTACTCGAGGATTTTAGTTTGATTGAGTCTCTTGATGTCTATATTTATCCAGCGCAAGAGTAAGAGCTGGCAATCCTATTTTATTCTGGGATTTTTTTTATTGTTTGTTTATTTTTTATTTTTTTTTTTTTTTTTTCGGAATGAATTAATCAATTAAATTATAGTTCAAAAAAATAGAGAGTAATTTTTAATGAGTTTGAAACAAACATTCAGTTTATTGTAAAAAAATAATTTGAATTTATTTTTAGGATGAGAAATTTTTTAACATAAAAGCGACACTTTCTTTGACTAATAGATAATAATAGAATAATTGAAAAAAATAGATCATTTTTGGTCTTAAAAAAAAGTAAACTAAAAGTTTTATTAGGGAAGCTCTAATAGATTAAAAATTTTTTTTTAAATCCCTTGATTAGGACAAAAATGCAATAGCCTATTAATTTTCTATGAAATCTATACTAAAAACATTAAATTATTTGGTAAAAACACGATAAATCTAAAGTTATGGCATT